AAAACAAACCTTTCCTGCTAAATCTCCTTGTGGGTAACATAAGTCTCAACCAGAAAATCATAGTAATAGTTTAGAGTTCTCAATACAACCTTCTAGAAAATCTTTGCCATTTAGAATGGCCACATTTAAACATTTTGTCATTGATCTTGCTCTAGTCTAGAAATACATTCTCTCAACCACACTCAGAATAACAATCACTCTCAGGATTTAGGAGAAGAAAAACCTTTTTAGGTCCTTTCTCCTAGATTTTGATTTAGTGGGCTTGAGGTGAGACCTTGAGTTTTTTTATAATTATTTGAAACAACCATGCCAGTAGAGTCTGATCATCTATAGAGAAAGTAGTGGTGTAGATGTGGCTTATAAGTTTGTCTAACCATAAGATTCATTTGAGAATTTGATGAAGGAAGAAAGAAAACAAGCAAACAGCCAAGCAAGCAAACAATCAGAAAATGTAACACACTAGGACTTCCAAACCAGAATATCCAGATTAAAAGATGCTTAACAAATGTCAAGTGATTCTGTGAATCACACATGGGGGAGAAGCTTGACTACTTAACAGTCTGTAACCCCTGCTTTGCGAGCTCTCTTACAGCTTTTTCCAAAGTGGAACATGTGTATTTTATTAGAAAAATATGAGTTTTGTGTGACTCTGATAAATTGAACATAGGCATCACAATCTGCTAAAATATTACAAAGTTGATTTTAAAAGTTACAAACTGGCCTGTTTATTTCATGCTGTTAACACAAGGTAACACTGTTTTCTTTGTACTGGGAATCAAGCTCATGAACTCATACTTGCCAGATAGACGCTGCCCTGCCGAGCTCTAACCCCGACCTTCGAAGTTAACTTATAAAAAGGAAAAGCTTACTGGTGAACAAGTCTGCAGGATAGAATGTTGAAAATCAAGGTCTTGCCATCTTGCAAGCCATCACATGATAGAAGACAGAAGGGCAAGAGTATAAGTTGTGAGTAAACTCACCCTTTTATAATGAGATTAATGTTACCCTTGTGTCCTCATCAAGTGTTTAAAATGGTTACCATGGTAATCACTTTTCAACACGAAGCTTGGAGGACACAAATATTTGAAACCATAGTACAGTTTAGGGAGATTGAGGGTAGATGCAGAAAATACAAAATTCAACGCAACTGTAAAAAGTAGATATTACATGAATTGTGAGAAGGATTTGTTTCAGCTTTTATGTTTTCACTAAGTCCTATGTAGAAGATACCCCAAGAATCAAGATTGCCAGTGAAATTCATTAAATGTCAATTCAAGTACCACTGAGAATAGAGAAGAAATGCCAAACTGAAAAAGAAGCAAACAAACAAAAATCCAACAAGACAGGAGCAATAGTTGTAAGTCTGTGTGTGAACCAGATACATCCTGAAAAGTTCTGGCTAATTGTCCCTTTCCATTTTATCAGAAAAAAGGAAGATTATTGGGCACAGAGCTCAATAAGGCCAAGCAGAATTAAAGCAGGAAACAAATGCTTTATCAAAATAGGGTAATTGACTGGCCAGATAGCTCCATGGTCTAAAGCACCTTCTTAGGGAGGCAAAAGAACCTGAGACAGCGACTGAGACTGGGCATGGTGGCGCGTGCCTGTAGCTCCTGTGCTTGGGAGGCCGAGAATAGGAGGATCACTATGAGTATGATCTGGGTAGTGAGACCCTGTAGACCCTGTACTAAATACATAAAAAGGGTAACTAGATGAATGTATATCAGCAAGAACAAAACAAAGGAAAAGCACACATTGTTAAGGTCAACCCCATCACTACTGATTCTCTTCACCAGCCCTTGAACCCAACTTTCAGATCTTTTACATTGTATATTCAAAATTAATTAATTTCTTTCATGCTTAATATATTATCTCATTTGTATTTTGCTTCGGTGTGAAACCTTCAGAAACATTGTCTGAGGCACTTAAGTTGGATAAATATTGTTTTCTTGAGAAATCAGCTTCATAAAAAGTCATAGAAATAATGGCAGATTAATATTTCTTCAAAAAGAGAAAGATAGGTAGACCTGTAGCAGCTGGGAGTCCAGCAATTATTCTTGCCGGTTTTCCCAGGACGAGGCTTATCCTTGTGCTCCTGATGTGCTCACCCCTGCAATTTCCCCAAATGTGGGAAACTCAACTGCAGAATTTGTGGTAATGGGGGATCGTGTTTGCATTCTCCCTGAAGGGGGATCACTGATTACCAAACATGGAACACACTATAGAAACACACAACCCAACAAAGTTCATGCAAGTAGGACTAGAACATCTCAAATCACCTATATTTATTGAATACAAAGTGGGATTTAGGAGGTAAGGAAGAAAGGAAGACAATGAAAGTATTGTGTAAGAATTGTGGATATAAAGTATTATAGATTTATCTATATCCATGAAATGTTTGACAATAAGAGTAAGCCCTAATGTAGACTCTAGACTTTGGGTTAAAATGATGGATAAATATAGGCTGATTAGTTGTAACGAACATCCCACCTTGGTGGGGAATTTTGGGGAATGGATGTGGGAGGCTACAGCTTGTGTAGTTTAGGTTCAACTTTGGAGTATGCCTAAAACTCCTGTAAAAATAATCTTAAAATCATCTGTAAACTATGCTAAGTGCTTATAAGATACAGGAACAAGGGGTAACCATCCATATACTCAAATAGCATTATAAGTCCATGAACTTAATTATAAAGATTGTCTCAAAATTACCAGATTTAGAGGAACATTCTCTGATATGAAATTAAACATGAAAAATATGTTTACACACACAGACACACACATACACACAGTAGATAAGTAAACAAAAAGACTATGAGTGTTATTCTAAAAATGAAAGAATATTCACTTTAGGAAGTAAGCACCAGCAATAATACAAAGACATTTTAGAGTTATAAAAATCACTGATTTTAATATTAAATGGGGAAGTGTTAATATTTAATAAAGTATTTTCTAGATTAAATTAAGGAAACCAATGCCGTGGAGATCCCTCAATGGTCTAAGCACCTTCCTACATGAGCCCAAGGACCCAGGTTCATCCGCGGTTCCACATGCTACACTGGCCCTGTCCCGGGCTCACCAATCCAGCCACCAAAGACCAGAGTGGTGGCACACAACTGTACTGTAATCCCAGTGCTGGGGAAGCTGAACACAGGAAGATCACTAGAAGTCCAAGCTGCATAGTGAGACCCTGTGCTAAATAAAATAATGATAATAATAATAATAAATAAAAATAAGGAAATCCTATAACAAACCAAACAACAACAAAATGATGGAAAAAATGGAAAAAACAAATCAACAAGAAAAGTAGTAGTAGAAATACTAGTAGTGTAAGTGCAGCGGCCAGGGTTCCATCCCTGCCTTGCTGTGTGGGCTCCACCCCTGGGACATGGTGAGATAGAGATTGAGACTGGGCTTAGAGGAGCGTGCCTGTAACCCAGCACTAAGGAGGCTGAAAATGGGACAATCACTATTAGTCTGATCTATGTAGTAAGACCCTGTAGATCTTGTCCTAAATATATTAAATAAATAAAACCAAAAAGAAAAATATTAGTAGGGTAAGGTTGCTAACAAAATAAGCAGCTCTCATAACACAGCCTTACTGGTATGTGTCAGAGTGGCAGAAAGTGAAGATATAAAAACCTTCAACTGAATCTCTTTCCACTCACACACATACAGAGGTAGCTCAGGAATCAGAACAGCATAGAATTTTTCAATGACAAAATGTATTTATTTATTTACTTTTAGTGTTGAGAATCAAATTCAAAAACAAAATTGTAAGTTAAAATTAATTTAAAATCTCTTCATCAAGTTAGGACAACTGAACATCCAGCTACAAATCCGGACCAAGCTATATGACTTAGAAATATTCTCAATCAAATATTTATGAAAATGGCTTAAGAACTAAAGTAAAGTGATGTTTTAGGATATAGAAAAAATCCAAAGTAGAAATTCAGAGAGAGTGCTTTCACCCACAAACAGCACAAGTGGCCTAGTCCACTCGCCTTTTCCTTTTTTCTGCCCTCATACTTCAGGCTTGGATTTTCTATTTGCTGGCAGAGTTACACCATAGTTGCTCAAATTCTAGGTCTGGTTATTTTCAAGACAGCAAATGTGGTGGCATAAAATGAAATGTTTCTTTTCTTACATTTTTCTTTTTATTAGGAAATCAAATTTCCCCAGAAATTCATCAACAATCTTTAGCTTTTATCACATTGGCTCGGATTGCATCCAAGTTGAAATACTTGGTGGCCAAAGACCCTGGCCACATGCTTCTCTGCTTGCCTCAGTCCTAGCTATGAACAAAAAAGGAGAATGAAGAGTCGCGTGCCGTGCCATAAACACTAGCAACAGAATCGAGAAAACAAAACATCTTCAATGTGCAATAACTCCCAAATTTTTTAAAAGAATACTTTCTGAAGTGTCATTTGAAGAACATGCTCCATTAAAATAAAACCATAAACTGAAGAGGAAGAGACAGATTACAGATAGGTCACAAAAAGAGTTTACCTAAGCTCAAATTTTAAAGACATAGTTATTAAACGATTACCCCATTGAGACACCGGGGTATAAATTTGGGGGTCTCTGATCACTGTCAAAATCATCAATGTCTTCTTCTTCTTCTTCTTCTTCTTCTTCTTCTTCTTCTTCTTCTTCTTCTTCTTCTTCTTCTTCTTCTGTATTTAGTACAGGGTCTCACTACACAGCTCAAACTTGTAGTGATCTTGTTTTCAGCCTCCCCAGTACTGGGCTTACAAGCCTGCACCACCATGCCCAGACTTGGTGGCCAGCTCAGCATACCTGGGGACAGGTCCAGTGCAGCATTTTGTGCTGGGGATCAAACCCTGATCCTTGTGCTTGTCTAAGCAGGTGCTTAGTCCACTGAGCTATCTCTCCAGCCTTCAATTTTATCAATTTCTTGTAAAGGGTTTCTTAAAAAGTTCTCACATTAGTGGTCATTTCTACCGCAGGGAGGGGATGAAACTTAAAGTCAGCCAAAGATAAAGACATATATGGCAGGGACTCAAAAGGGTGTACATGCAGAGTTTGTAGTTATGTTTGTGTAACCATAAGCTGTGTCACCTGGCTCCGACTCTCACTAATGATGCGAAAGTATTCATAGATCATTGTCAACCGGTGCAGCTCATGCAAACATCAGTGACCAGAATTTTTACTGAGACTCTGTAACACAGGCAGAGTAGACTGAGTCATTGCCCTTGGGATTTAGTTCATTCTCTGGAACTCCCACGCACAACAGGTGATTTTAGACCCAAATCCCCAACCAGTTCAACACCTGACTTGGTTTTCTGCCATGAGCAGATACCAATCTGAGTCTACATCACAGGACAGGAAAAGTTCTCTGTTGTGGTCTAATAGCCCAGAGCAAGAATAAGGACATTCCTGTCACTCCAGAAATTGCAGAAGTTTAAGACTATCCCAGGATCTGGATTAAAAATGTACTTTAAACATTGCTATCAATATTTCTTTTAGGATCTAGTTTTTACTACTTATATACACAAAATAGAGTGAAGATAATGCCTAGGATGACTGTTCAGAAGTTCAGTCTTACACAGTGATTTGCTAGATATGGAGAGAAGACCTTAGAAGGTACATCTCAAAGAAAAAATAAATCTTATTTCTTAAAATTTTAGCATACCTGAGATACAGTTACAGTACTGAAAGGGAGCTTGTGACTAAATGAGTGATGATTATAAATAAACACAGGTGTAACATTGGATATGAACTTCGGGGCCGAAGTTCATATCCAATGTTACCAAATTGAAAAAATAAATTCAAAGTGGAAAATGTTACCAAATTGTTTTGTAACTCTACAGAAAAGATAAGGTCAGTGCAACTATGCATTTGTGAGAGAAACAAGGGTTTAAACCTTCCACAGGAGATATTATAAACAACAATGAAACAGAAACAGGATAAAATGAAAGCATGAAGGTGGAAGAAACACCAGATCAAGATAAATTAAAGCACAAACATTCCATGTTCATGCCCCTGGTGTGGGAAACAAGAATAAAAACAGGAAAAGCAGGCGATCGCTTCTGGGCTCTTAAATTTGAATAACTGCAAGTGAGCATGTCATGCCCTCGCACGGCCCGTGCAGAGGCTGTGGTTTAGGCTGCACACCATGCTGCTCTACGCTGTGCTTCCTGGAAGATGGAAAGGAGAGCAGCTGGAAGTAGCACCTCCGGACAGCTAGTGAGTGAGCGGGGATGTTATCTATCATCCGACAGCAAAATTCTCCATCAGTGCAGCTCACAGGAAAGCCACCTTCCTAGTTTCAGATGAGGAACTGAGAGCTAATTCTTTCTGCTTTTCAGGACTTTTTTTTTTAAGAAAATAAAAAATAGTAAAATAAATAAATAAATAAATAAACAACCCAGAAATTGTACAGCATTTCACTAAACAAAATGAAAGGAGAGAACCAGTCCTAACCCAGGCCTAGTGAGTAAGTGGGAGAGGTTATAGCTACCCTGCATTGGCAGGACCTACTTGTCCCAACCCAGGTACAGCATGGGTGAGACCCTATTTCACCCCCTTGTGATGCCCCCAACCATTCTGCAGCACCTCCCCCACCGTGCTCACCAAGCAGGAACATCTGCCTGGGAACCCCCAGATCCAGTCCTAGCTCAGGCCCAGTGAGTGTGTGGGAGAGCTGCCTCTTCCCCCTATTCCACCTTGTCCCCTCCAGACTCAGCTCAGGCCTGGCATACAGGCCTGGGGGGAAACCCTGAAGCTGCAATCCCTGCAGAGAGTGTAGGGGACAGAAGTCCAGGAGCAGGTAGTCTTACCAGAGGGGCACAACAGGTTCAACCCCAAAAGCAGCAGCAGGAAGAAATTGAGCACAGCAGCCAGACACAAGCCAGGCACAACAGGATAAATCCAAACTTTGTAGATCTGCACCTGAACTTCAGTAGGTGCTACGGTTAGAACTGCACCAAAGATCTCCAACAAAGATCAGAAGACAGTGCTCCACAAAATGCCAAAAAGAAGGAGCAAAATGCAATCTCAGAACCCAAGCCCACCTATAACAACTGCAGAGGACACTAACACAGCACAAATTGGGAATCACACAGCTGAATTCAATGAATCAATGGCTTCTGAAATAAAGAAACAGCTGCAGAAAGTTATAGAGGAACTCAGATTGCAAATGAAAAAAGAAATCCCTGAATTAATA